GCTATTTCTTCAAGAAAGGGACATCCTTGGGATGTCATTGGGCCCAGACATTTTGATATCCCAAAGATGTCCCTACTCCTTGTCTCTGGGACATCGCACTTGTCCCAAGGGGATATCTCTGGGATATCTTTGGAATCAGAGACACTTTCGGTAGATTAAGATGCTCTCATCTCCTCATTAAGATGCTCTACGTCTCTGAGAGCGATACAAGAATCCAAACTAAAAAAAAATAACGCCATGGAGAGAAGTCGGAACTTGAAGAATGTTTCCCGGATGTTTGTTGTATACGATACGATACGATAAGGTACCAGGCACAAGAGGCTCTTGGCCCGTAACTGCGACCTAACTCAACAAACCCATCCTTCCACCTGAAATCACAAACCGCTTTCTTCTGAGGCCTTAAGTTATCTCGTTCCACGGTAACTGTTTGCATATATTGCAGAAAACTCGATGCAGTTTAATTTATAATACAATGTAGATGGTGCTTTGATGGGAAATTACCTTCAATTTTTTTCATGGAAAGATTACATTTATCGGTCTCATTCCCAAAGATGAGCCTATCGCCACGGGAAGGCACTTTCACGGTCCAATTTAATTCTCTGCTGTACAGAAGGCGTGAGCTTTTTGCTGGCAGAGATCCAAAGTGCAGGCTGAAAGAGATTAAGGGGAAGCTAAGGCACGCCTCTAATCCTAATGCAGATGGACAACAGTGCTTTCACATTCCATTCACCTCACTCGTACCCCCTGGTCCCAAAGGAGGGGAAAGGGTACATGAAGCATGCCATGGAAACCATCGCAAATTTGGTCAACTTCATGTTTCACATGAATGTTTCAGGGTCTATGGGGGATCCCACCCAGCAGAACCACATTCCAAAGATGTCCCAGAGATATCCCCTAGGGACTAGTGAGAAGTTTTAGGTATTACTTGTGGGTACATCTTTGGGATAGCCAAATGTCAAGGCGCAAGGGCATCCTAAGGCTATCCCTTTTATCTGAAACGGATTCATTTTCTGCCATGCAAGACAACCCTAAGTTCTGAAATTCGTCTATTTGACTTTCCGGGACTTCCCGGTGCTAAGTATTAGCCCATCGGATATTAATCCCCTGCGCGTCAATTGAAGTGGATGTTTTACATTTTTGATTGTATTTGAAGAATTCTGCTGTAACCTGTAAAATATGTCAAAACAGAACAAATGTTTTTAAGTTAAATTTCCGGTAATCCTTGCTCGCTGTTGCACTCATCTTTGCTGGGATAAGCGACAGGATTATCCGATAGTTCCAAGTTACTTTTAAACGAGAAAATATAAAATATTCACTTCAATTGACGCGCACTTTATTAAGGGGCATCCTTACTTAAGAAATCCCCAAGATAGAAGACGCATCGCCATAGCGTAAAATGAAGCTCGTCTATCATAAAAATCTCTCAAATTCATGGGCAAATTGCGTAGACCTTAGTTTTCTAAGAGAAAGCGTTGGCTCAGATCTCCAACCAGGATAGTTGTACCCAAACTCTTAGAAAAGAGAGAGCGATTTCCGAGAAAGGAGCGAAACTGGAGTTAGCGGCTTTCCTCCTTAAAAACAAGGAAATGCAGCCGCTCACCTCTCTCTTTCCTGAGAATAACCACTAACTTTTTCCACTAGTTTGAATAGTACTCTCCCTCATTCGTTTCGCGCTCTTAAAAATGATATGAATTTTGCTCTTATAAAGGAGTCTTTATCGATTGCACTTCCTCGTTTTTAGGGAGTAAAACCACTAACTCCAGTTTCGCTTCCTTTCTCGGATATCGCACACTTTTTCCTAAGAGTGCAGACATGCCGATCAGACGGACATTACTAAGAACATAACTGGATAAATTAAAATACGTACCTCAGTTTACCTTTCCTACGTGGCAGTTTTTCTGATTCACGGTACGAAAATCGTTACTTCTTCTCAGTACATCACAAGCATATAAAAGTGATGGAAAAAATCTGAGGTTGAAGATCAGGGCACGTGAGAGACATGTCCCCTCATGTTTATGCACCTGGACTTTAGGTCCCCCCGCGCACAGGTTGCGGATAGGTCCCTCGAAACAGGGAGACATCATGGGGACCTTCTCAACAAGACATCGGTCTTTATGGAGCATTCTGAAGACGGCTTCAGTCGAACGCCTCGACATTTCAAACGGACATTCCTTTCGGGGTATCCAGGAGAAAACGACTTCAGATGTCTTGAAGACATCCCTTTTGGGATATCGAGAATAATTCGACCGAAGACACCTGAAGGACGTCCCGAAGGCATTCCCCTCATGATATCGAAAAGAGATCGACTGTAAATGTCTTCAAGATGTTCCATGAAGACTTTGGGCCAAGTCTTCCAGTTGAAGACATCCTTGAGATGTCTCTGCTGCGTGGGATCCTTCGCCACTTACTTTCCTTGCCCTTCTCCACCCATCCACATACTAAGGGCCCTTTCGAAAGTACAAAACCACTTTTTTTTTATTTAGTACAGATTGAATTATTCCCTTCCCAATTCCCCGACACATCAACTTTCCCAGTCCCCACTTTCCTATCACAAATGCTTGATACATTTTACATTATTATTGCTTTTGCATTCATATAATTTTTTGTAGATTCGATAGGTTGCCTTGCGGATTCACTTTTCCCTCCCCCACAATATGAGTATGTAGACTTCCACCCAACAAAAAAAACTACTAAATTTGCAGTCTTGCGACTCGAGTTCGAAGTCTTTTGTAGGATTATTTTTCAGGAATAGAGCGTCAAAATTCCCTCGGTGTTTTACGACTGGCATCCCAGCAGTCTTCGGTGAAACATGGGTCTACTGAGTTTCAAGATTCTGCGTCAAGATTGCGACCTCGTCAGAAATGACAAGTTAATGACCTTGATTCTTTCTCGATAGCCTACAGCAAATTTATAGGAGTTGTAATGCATTCTCCCATGTTGCTGAGTGAGGGTGGGGGGGTCGCCTTTCTCCTTCCCTGTTTCTCGTTATCGGCATTCGGACAGTTCTTGATCAAAGACAGTCAATAACACCATTTCGGGCATTAGTTTAGTGAAGAATCACGTCGAGGGCGTAAGAACAAATGCGGATTGGAGAAATATGTGAGTTGCAGACCACACGTATGACGTAAAGAGGTCGTGGGGCGCGTCTTTTTCTCCAGCTGCTAGAAGCTGCTGGAGAAAAAGACGCGTTGGCTAGGCACGACCACGTCGTTGAATGACGTCACTATTGGGCAAGCAGCTGCGAGTGGAACATAGCGAACTATGAGAACGCTGAGCAGCTAAGCCTTAAAATAACGTCATCAGATTCTGGGGGCCTCAACAGAGCTAGCTGAGCCGTTGCAAGCGGCTGGAGAAAAAGACGCGCCCGTGGATTATGAGGGTGACGTCATCGTCTTGACCTATTCGGCAACATGGCTGCGCCCCGAACGTCCTTAGCGGTGGATTCCTTAGACTTAGGGAGCTTTCAAACCGTTTCCTGCCACGATTTTCTCGAGTTCCAGGTAAACTGCTTTGATTTTCTTCTCGCAGCATAATTCCTCGGTGTTTAGATGATTAATTAGCTATGGACAAGACTAGATCCCTCGGATACCCGAAGGGCACGTCTTCAAGCACGTTTAATGGTCACGTGAACACTGGGCTTTTCAAAACCTTTATTACGGCTTGCGTGTTTAGGATGTGCTCAAGAAGATGCGAGTCATGGACGATAAGATCGTGTATGCTTTGAATACGTCTATTCCAACAGACTCCTTCAAAGGACAGATCAATCCGGAGACCACCTGCAAGGACCTCTATGAACAGGTTAGCATAGGTCTCATACACTTAAGGCAATCCTAGGGTAACTACCTGCCTAATTTTACTAACCACTCGATGGTTCATAAAATAAGGCCAATAATAAGTGGTCAAAATGAAAAATCTACAGGACTATTTCAGGGTCAAGGAAAGATCCTGAGATACAGTCCTGTTATCCTACTAGGGTAAACTGCTCTAACATGGAACAAGATTTCTTGAAATTAAGGTATTGTGAAAATCTTGCCTTAGGTTTTAACAGAGTGATGGGAAGAGTTTCAAACAAATACTCATTTACTTCCTTTATTTTAGAATTTACATCTAGTGACAATATCCAATCAAGATCAAAATCATGTACTTAAGCATCTTTAGGATCAGATGAATCCCAAGAAAGTATTAATTTGGCATGATTCCTTCTCTCCAATTGTTTCATCTTTTTGTCAGCTGTTGAAAAAGGCTTTTTTTTTCTTCTTTTTTTTACATAAGGCCATAAGCCTAACTCAAAAGTTGCATGAATGAAAATTAAGTATGATAAGATTTTCATCACCTACTCAAAACCCTGCTAGAGTTGATTCTCATCCTTTCTATCCCTCTTCTCATATAGCAGAGACTTAACCCTTTTGTTGGATGAATTTTGAAGAGGTAATAGAACCGTGGGTGACTGAAGTCATCTTTTGCAGTAAAAGTGGGTTAAAGCAGTATTAATTTGAGGGAAACTAAAATAATTATACCAAAAAAGATACACAGACTTTTCTTGACTTAGTCTGTAATAGTAGGGAGTTGCAAATTGTTTCTAAATGAAATCGAATACTTCAGGAAGACTTGAGGTGATCCACAATAATAACAAATGTTGGAATGCCTGCAATGTTCTCCACTTAAAGAAAACCCCATGAGTCTCAACACTTTACATTTCTTTTAGGAAAAGTAGATCCACCCAGTAAATAATGAAAGACTTTGTGGAAGAGATTGAAATAAGGACTTCTTTCAAGAATGTTGAGGAAATGGCTGAATTAACAACTTCAAGAGACAGTACAAAGATGTGATGACTCCTCCTGGACCTTCCAGTCTCAAAATCTAGAGCTTGCTTAAGCTGTTGGATGCAAACTCAATGCCTTCAACTAGCAGTACAGCTATGCTTCTGCTTGAGCTCGATTCACCAACCAAAAGTTCTAGGATCTGAGGCATCAGGACTTTGCACAAGGCTATTCTGAAACATGTTTCATGCAACAGTTCTGAAGCCAGATGCTGAAAAGAGAAGTTCTGCTTCTATTTGGAGAGCAACTAACATGATACCAAATAAAGGTCAAGGACTGATGAAGTGAAGAATAAATTAAAGGTTGGCAAGGAAACAAAGGAGATACTGAAACCACCAAGAAATACTTGAGTAGTTGAAAGATAAAGAAGGTGACCTCTGTTTCATTTGTGGTGAGAAATGGATGTTAATGCCAAATGGGTAGGCTACAAAATAGAAAGCATTTGGTTTTGCCAGTTGTGCTTTTCAAATAATTTTGATGTGGAAGAGGACTTCCATTGCTGCTGAAGCTGCACAGCATGAAAAAAAGAACAATGAAGGAATGTTATTGTGGTGTTGTTGGTGTTACTTTAATGTTATTCATAATATCAGTTGTTACAGCTGAGGCAATTTAGAATGAGTCAGAGTATATATGATCATGTTTCCCATAACCTATACCTGATAAATTGGAATAGCAGAGGCACACAGACATCAATATGCATATTATACTCTGCTAAAAGTATCCAAAGCACTATGCAAAATGGAGAATTGTAATATTAACATTATGGCCTATTATGGCACAGGACTGCCATTGGCATGAACAACCACTGTAACACATTGAGTCATGCTCAGCATTAGTTCTTGACAGGGTTCCAGTGAGATACTCATCCAGTCTGCCATCATAAGCTTTTGTAGCTGAGGGAGACTAGATGACTGTGGGACATAAATCTGGTGCTCTAGATGGTCCCAGAGGTGTTCAATAGCATTGAAGTCTGGTCTCTATGCAGGCAGTGAACATGATATTCTAAGATCTACTGGCATTCATGTGCAATAAGCCTATCAAGTAAAAGACCCTAATGGACCTATTTGCTTCAAGCCCACACATAGCCATCACTTTGAAAGAGGGTGAAGTTTCATCACTCCAGAGTATATGAGACCACTGGTTCACCTCCCAGTGTTGTCACTCCTTATGCCATGCCAAGTAATGCTGTGCATTTGTGGGAATGATGAGCACATTCCACAAACTAGTGCTCCCAAAGTACTCGCATTCATGTAGAAGGTGCTCAGATCTTGGGTTGTTACATTGGGCTGATAGAGAAGCAGTAAAGATCAATGTGGATTTTATGGAATGTTGCTTTATGGTTTGTCTTCCCAACTCCCACTAGGACTGATTAGGTGCAGTCTGACAGCAATTACAATATTCCCAAATGTGGTTTTGATGTTCTGACACCCTCCTCTCTCTACCTCTTCATGGTCCTATGCAAAGTAAACTTTAAACGACCAGTGGTGGTGGTGATTTCATGAATTATCTTCCCACATGTACAGTAGAAGCCAATTATAACACCTCTTGCAAACTCACTCAATTCACCTGACTTTGACACATTACAACAGGTTGGATTACCATCACATACTTTCTATGGATTCTCTGTGCTTTTGCTGATACCATGGTGCCACACAGTGCATAATGGACATATGCTGTAAGCCTTGTCTGGTTACTTTGGGCAGAGTAGAGTACATGTTTAGACCCTGAAGGCTATGAACATAAAAGGTGGTAAGTCTTATTTACAAAATTTGAGGCATTAAAATGAACTTTAACACATTAGACAGGACCTTTCCCCAACATAATTTGAATTATTTGGTTTCTGGGTTTGTTCCTAGTCAGCCCAACTTACCTGATCACATCCCAACCCCTTGATTTGTAGACCTAAATTTATTAAGAATTATTTGAAAATGATATGCTAGTGTATTCATTGTACAGTTGCAGAAGAATTACTCGGCAAGAGAAGCAGCAATAAAGCGTTGCCTTGGAGTTGTGTTGACAGATGTGTCTGATATTAAGAGACAGCGTGAGAAGGACCCAGACAATATCAACCTCCTCAAGGAGCTTCGAAAGCAGCAGACTAAGGTCAGTCCAACCCTCAAATTGTAATTTTTCCATCCAACCCTTGTGTTCAAATTTATTAAAGTCAAGGATGCTGTGTATGTCCTTGACTTTAGGGATTCACCTTCAATGTGAAATATCAGAAGCAGACCAGGTTCGGTGACAGAGTGATTCTGGCCTCTAAGCCACTTGTTACCATGTCTTGGAAATATGGGTTCAGCACACTTTAAAAACCACTCATGCTAGTCATGGACTGAAGTCATTCACGAGGCAGCTTAAAAATAATGCCCTGGGGTTGGGATGGGTGTCCCTGCCTGAAGGTTTTATGCCTACTGTGCTACCTATACCAAACAAGTACCCCTTTCACTGTGTGTAGCATAATACTTCCTTTGATGCTTGTGCCCATTGGGCAAGAAACAAAACCCAGATGTGATAGAAGTCACTCCAGTGCAGGGCAAGTTAGAGCAAGAAATAGGCAATTTTTTTCCTGTTGTTTTACTTTTCCATCCATCTGATACTGAATTGACTCCAGATCATGCAGAAGTCACCTCAAGGCCTAAAATTTTCATCCATGGAAGTTTCCTTTCTTTGGCCCTTTACTTACATCTATCAATGAATATATATATTTTGCTGTCACATCAATGTTGCATTGATGGTTCAGGTCGATGCATGGATATTTTCAATACTACAGTGATTTCCTAATGATTACATCCCCCCTGATGTTATTGGAAGTGAGAATTACATCATTCCCACTTCCCATCTATTCAATAGAAAATCACTACCATCGTAACAACAAAATTATGACATCCAGATTTACAGAAGCTAACCTGACACCCAACATTAAATGGATAGGCCAGCACTCATCTGCTCCCTGCAGGCATAATGTATCATCAAGCGAAATGGCATTCATTACCCACTCACCTAAAAATCAGAAATCAGCAGAGTGAAAGTACTGTTGCCTCGCTTATTCTAAAATTCCTAGGGAGGAGTATGACACAGACTGTGCAAATATTAATTTAATCTTGCAACTTTCTTATGAGTCTTTGGTTTCTTGAGTTTTTAATTTCGTCTTCTTATACTTCTCTACCTGGGAGATTCCAAAGTCTTAAACTACATTTGGAGATTTGCATATGATGTTCCCCCCTATTGAAGAAAATTGCTTGGCAATACGTGCTCACAGTAGTTGCTATGTTTAGTTCATTTGAAGACCACTTTTGCCATTGTTATCCTATAATTTTTAGGCAATATTTTGCTTACTTCAGGATTTGGGCTTGGGTAAGTCAGTATATTGATGTTTTGGGTCATATCTGAGAGTTCTTATAGTCCTAAAGTATGTATTTTAACTGTAAATGAGGTTATCTGATAGTTATTTGGCTTCTTATGACTGCTGCTTATTGGGACTTTTTTTTTTTAGTAAGCTTTATGCAATCAAATTATCTTGCTTTGCAATTTGAAATAAACTCTCAGAAAAGAGCTTAGGTAAGTGGACTGTGATCCCTGCTTCGCCCCAACCACCAACCTTTCTTGTCTACATAGTCTTCTAGCATTCTTATGCATTTTCCTCCACCTCCATTTATTCTTTACACTGTGCATAATTTTTCTTTGTATCATCAAAGATAAAATATTCAAAGGTGGGTTGCTAATAGCTTATGCTTTGCTCAGCTTGTTTTGGTATATTGCTGATCTGCTTTTATGATGACAGTGCTCATATTACAAAGACCCCCCCCATCTATCAACTACTACTACAAGTGTGCTACCTACCTTCCTGTTGTTTATTTTTGGTTTGCCCCCTCACCCCCTCCGATTATACTTCAAACAATTCTGATCACTTTCAGTAGCAATATACACAACTTTCAAGGGACTTGTATTGTTTTCAAGAAAAATGCTTTCTTTGGGGTGGGATCTAAATACTGTATAGCTGCCTGAATCATTCTTAATGATGAATTGAATAATGATATATCTTATAGCTGAGGTTGATGCAGTCAGAGCTGAATGTAGAAGAAGTAGTGAAGGACCGTACCCTGAAGGTGTTCTATGAGAGGTGTCGCCTACATTACAAACCGCCAGACATCAGCCACTTATGATAGTAGAAGTCATGCTAGCAGTGTTTTGGGGGTCTCCATGTAGTACCATGGGTGCTATCCTCCTCTTGGTAAGTGTGGAATTCTTTTCTTCTCCTTCACCACCTCATTCCTCCATCTAAAATAGTCTCTTGAGATAAGTCTAATGTATCAGGTTGTAAAGGTGAAATTTAGACATTTCGATTTTTTCTAGAAAAATCTGGAAAATGTTAGAACTTT